TGTGAATTCGTGAGTTGTGTATGAGCAGATGGTCTCTCATAGCCATTGTGATGATTGCTTGTCTGAGTAGCTATGGCGTGGGAAGGAAATAGTGTCGGGCAAACAATATTTCTTCAGTAAATTGCTGGGTAATTTGTATGCCCCACGCAAGATCGGCAACGCAGAAGAAACGCCGGAATGCTCGGAGGCGGACGAAGACATCGTCTCACCCGTGGCAAGTAGAGCTAGAAGAGCTGAGAGGGGCCGTTCCGACCAAAGAACGCAGGGATGGTGCCGGGGCACCATGGGTGACGCAATGGGATCATGTCTCAGTTGCAGAAGAGAACTGGCAGGGAGTGTTGAGTATCGTCGAAGTACTGACTGAGGCTGTCCAAAACTTCATGAACGAGAATGGTGATTTCTTGTCACGTTTCATGGCAGCAGATAGGGAGGGCCAAACTGAAATGGCTAATGAGTGGCGCCCACTTGTGGAAGTAGCTGATATGGTTCGTCCGAAAATAGAGCATCGGCTCAAGACGATGGGCTGTAAGGACGATGACTTGCAGGGGTGGGGCTTAATGAAGGAACTTGCACGACTAACGACAGAATTCGAGGAGGCCACCACCATACATAGCGATGTAGTATGGGATAAGGATGATTACTGTGAGGAGGGATTAGAAGACCTGGTTATATGTGACTTGATGAAAGAAGGGGTGCCCATAGGTTTCTACGAACCCATTCTCGAAAATAAAGCGTGGCCGCCATATGTGCGCAGCGGGGCAGCGCGCGAGGGTGAACCAACAGATGGTGAGCTCCGATGGGCAGCGGAAAAATTGAATGACATGAGCTGGGCGGAGTTGCCGATTGGAAAGATAGACAGCGAAATGGAAGATAAACTTACAGCACTGATCCTCGAAGAGTTGGAGCAGGGTAGAATAAGGAGGGTTGGAAAGCATGAGATAGTGGCATGCTCGAAACAGTTGGCTATTTGGAAACCCAACAAAAATGATATAAGACCGTTGGATGATTATCGGCGTTCAGGGTTGAACAGAATAATTCGCGATAACCTACGTACTACTATTCGTTTGCCTAGGCTTCAGGATACATGTGCGATGTTAGCCGAAATGCCCATATCAGACTCGTTCAGGGTTTTTGAAGCAGACTTGGAACATGCTTTTAGAGTGGTAGAAGTGTGTGAGCGTGATAGACCGTTGTTATCATTCATCAGACCCGGTCAAAGGGAGGACCAGGAGCTGGAGATATATCAACATAATGTGCTGCCTTTTGGATTGATTACTAGTCCAGTTATATTCTGTAGAGGAGCGGCGGTTGGTTTCAGAGTTTCTAAACGGCTGCTAGCGGTGGCGCTAGCGATCATGGACGGCCGTTTACCGAATAAGTCTGATTCATGTGCAACGTCCGACCAGGGAAGGCAGATGAGAAGTGTTCCGCTGGGATTTCGCGCGATGCTGTATGTCGATGATGTGTCTGCATCTGTGCCGAGACATGCGAAGTTTGCAGCATGCTTCACGTTGTTGGTATTGATAATGGTAGGTTTCCCTATTTCATTCAAGAAAGTGAAAATTCTAGCGGAGGGGGCTATTATACTGGGTTTCGAGACATCACTGAACGAAGAAGGGGATGGCATTACCCTCCGAGTTCCGGCAGTCAAGATTAAGCAAATTTGTGACGAAATCGCGATGTTCTGTGCTTCTAAGTCGGTCAAGGTTCTGAACCGGCTAGAGGGCCGTTTATCATGGGCGGCTCAGATAGCGAGACCTCTAGCTCGAAAGATGAATGTCGTTAGGGAATTAACGGCTGTGGCAGCAAAGCATAATTTACGAACCTTGTCGATATCAGAGCAGAGGGTGGAACAGCTCCTCTCCTTGGGTGATTTGCTCAGGGATTATGGACACTGCAGCATACCGTATGTTGCGAGTCCGAACACTACCGTTCCGGGCACAGGTATTCCGACGTGGTGTGTGTGCACTGACGCTTGCTTAGAAGGGATGGCTGGTGTGATGTTTCCGTTGTGCGCGAAAGACAACACATGGTGGTTCAATATTAATGCCACAGATGACGATGAGCTGTGGCCGATGTTGTTGAAATGGAGGGGTGTCACACCACCTCCCGGGCAGGCCCGAGGCAAGTTTTTGGCAGGTGACATCAATTTCTTGGAACTGGCAGCCGTCGGAGTGGCTCTAAAACTTCTGGAGTATGGCCAGCAGCGTGTGGGATACGTTCACTGCCTCACGGATAATTCGGCCACAATGGGTGTCCTACGCAAGCTCAAGGCCAGGTCAGCTTCTCTCAACCAGATAGCGATGTCGGTGGGCTTCTCACGCTTCCAGATTGAGTGTACTCATATACAAGGGGAACGGAATTTGATAGCAGACACGCTGTCGCGTTCCTCACGATCTAGTTGCCGGCAACAAGTCCCAGCTGAATGGTTTGAAGCTGACAAGCTATCACTCAACTTCGCGGCCAATCATTTAATTGAAGTGTTTTAGTTCACTATCGCGTTGCGTGTCTAGCCGGCTGTATTGGGTAGCAAGCTGGCGATTGCATCATTATCTGCGTAGTATGGTGAGGCTCCTCAAGTTCGGGGTTAAGGCATCTTCTAAAGATGTATATCGTGCCTTATCCGTTGTCATCAATGTGGTTGGTGGCCATCGCCAAGCCAGCCGCCCAGAACGGCAACGCAGGCCAGGCGCTACAGTAACTGTACAGCGGGCGGGGCGTTTGAAGTGGGGGGCCCTTGACTAGTCGTAGTAGTACTACGGTAGTACGTCACGTTGGCGTACGAGTTAAGCCAAGTCACTAGTGTAAACCACTCAAGACTTGGCAGTGAATCATTCACAAGGCACCAAATATACGACTAGTCGAGAGCGTCAGGGAGCTGTTTCACAGCAACAGGTTGTTGCCAACAGCTAACCCTGACAAACACCCCAACCGCTGTACTACTAATTGACGTTGGAGAAGGAGTTGAGTGTAGGTTCTGTAAGGGAGCAAGTTCAACGACTGCACAACGCAATGGGGGAAATGGCGCTCGCCGCATTTACCTTGGCATATGTGGCACCAGTTTGGGTAGTTACGTGCTTGGGAAGCGCGACAAATTCGCGCTCCGAGCATAAAGAATTTCACGTTGGTAACAGATTGTCGAATAAAAGAATCCATGGAGTTATGTGCAGCTATTCTGTTCCAACTACGGTATGAACAATTTTTTTTCTTTAGTGGTACAGGGGCCCTTGACTAGTCGTAGTAGTACTACGGTAGTACGTCACGTTGGCGTACGAGTTAAGCCAAGTCACTAGTGTAAACCACTCAAGACTTGGCAGTGAATCATTCACAAGGCACCAAATATACGACTAGTCGAGAGCGTCAGTGAGCTGTTTCACAGCAACAGGTTGTTGCCAACAGCTAACCCTGACAAACACCCCAACCGCTGTACTACTAATTGACGTTGGAGAAGGAGTTGAACATCTGTTCCAACCATCCTGTGGCTTGGCTGGGGTTACAAGCACGTGAATTTGCGCAACGATCACGGGTGTGTAGCTCAGTGGTAGAGCGGCTCACTGCAGATCAGCAGGTCCTGGGTTCAAATCCGGGCGCGCCCTGTATCAATATCGTCAAACATCTGTTCCAACCATCCTGTGGCTTGGCTGGGACAACAAGCACGTGAATTTGCGCAACGATCACGGGTGTGTAGCTCAGTGGTAGAGCGGCTGACTGCAGATCAGCAGGTCCTCGGTTCAAATCCGGGCGCGCCCTGTATCAATATCGTCAAACATCTGTTCCAACCATCCTGTGGCTTGGCTGGGGTTACAAGCACGTGAATTTTCACAACGATCACGGGTGTGTAGCTCAGTGGTAGAGCGGCTGACTGCAGATCAGCAGGTCCTCGGTTCAAATCCGGGCGCGCCCTGTATCAATATCATCAAACATCTGTTCCAACCATCCTGTGGCCTGTCAGGGGTTACAAGCACGTGAATTTGCGCAACGATCACGGGTGTGTAGCTCAGTGGTAGAGCGGCTGACTGCAGATCAGCAGGTCCTCGGTTCAAATCCGGGCGCGCCCTGTATAAATATCGTCAAACATCTGTTCCAACCATCCTGTGGCTTGGCTGGGGTTACAAGCACGTAAATTTGTGCAACGATCACGGGTGTGTAGCTCAGTGGTAGAGCGGCTGACTGCAGATCAGCAGGTCCTCGGTTCAAATCCGGGCGCGCCCTGTATCAATATCGTCAAACATCTGTTCCAACCATCCTGTGGCCTGTCAGGGGTTACAAGCACGTGAATTTGTGCAACGATCACGGGTGTGTAGCTCAGTGGTAGAGCGGCTGACTGCAGATCAGCAGGTCCTCGGTTCAAATCCGGGCGCGCCCTGTATCAATATCGTCAAACATCTGTTCCAACCATCCTGTGGCTTGGCTGGGGTTACAAGCACGTGAATTTACGCAACGATCACGGGTGTGTAGCTCAGTGGTAGAGCGGCTGACTGCAGATCAGCAGGTCCTCGGTTCAAATCCGGACGCGCCCTGTATCAATATCGTCAAACATCTGTTCCAACCATCCTGTGGCTTGGCTGGGGTTACAAGCACGTGAATTTGCGCAACGATCACGGGTGTGTAGCTCAGTGGTAGAGCGGCTCACTGCAGATCAGCAGGTCCTCGGTTCAAATCCGGGCGCGCCCTGTATCAATATCGTCAAACATCTGTTCCAACCATCCTGTGGCTTGGCTGGGGTTACAAGCACGTGAATTTTCGCAACGATCACGGGTGTGTAGCTCAGTAGTAGAGCGGCTGACTGCAGATCAGCAGGTCCTCGGTTCGAATCCGGGCGCGCCCTGTATAAATATCGCCCAACATCTGTTCCAACCATCCTGTGGCTTGGCTGGGGTTACAAGCACGTGAATTTCAGCAACGATCACGGGTGTGTAGCTCAGTGGTAGAGCGGTTGACTGCAGATCAGCAGGTCCTCGGTTCAAATCCGGGCGCGCCCTGTATAAGTATCGTCAAACATCTGTTGCAACCATCCTGTGGCTTGGCTGGGGTTACAAGCACGTGAATTTGTGCAACGATCACGGGTGTGTAGCTCAGTGGTAGAGCGGCTGACTGCAGATCAGCAGGTCCTCGGTTCAAATCCGGGCGCGCCCTGTATCAATATCGTCAAACATCTGTTCCAACCATCCTGTGGCCTGTCAGGGGTTACAAGCACGTGAATTTGTGCAACGATCACGGGTGTGTAGCTCAGTGGTAGAGCGGCTGACTGCAGATCAGCAGGTCCTCGGTTCAAATCCGGGCGCGCCCTGTATCAATATCGTCAAGTGTAGGTTCTGTAAGGGAGCAAGTTCAACGACTGCACAACGCAATGGGGGAAATGGCGCTCGCCGCATTTACCTTGGCATATGTGGCACCAGTTTGGGTAGTTACGTGCTTCGGAAGCGCGACAAATTCGCGCTCCGAGCATAAAGAATTTCACGTTGGTAACAGATTGTCGAATAAAAGAATCCATGGAGTTATGTGCAGCTATTCTGTTCCAACTACGGTATGAACAATTTTTTTTAGGTTCAATCGGACGAAAGGAACTATTTTGTTTCGCCATGTCGCTTGAGGGAGAGTAGTTTCTTGAAGTGTTGTGTTGGCGGGTAGCACGCTTAAATGGTTAAGCCTACCTATTTGGAGGTTGGCGCTAGACGTCAGAATCACTGACTCCCCGAGGAGAACGGGGATGTGGTCAGCGGGGTTTCCCAATGCGATGGCGCATCGGTGGGGGGTCCCCCCTTGAAACATTTCTTTTGCAGGTCCAATCGGGCGAAAGGAACTATTTGTGTTTTACCATGTTGCTTGAGAAAGAATAGTTTCTTGAAGTGTTGTGTTGGCGGGTAGCACGCTTAAATGGTTAAGCCTACCCATTTGGAGGTTGGCGTTTAGACGCCAGAAACACTGACTCCCCGAGGAGAGCGGGGATGTGGTCAGCGAGGTTTCCCAATGCGATGGCGCATCGGTGGGTAATATGTGGTCAACGGGGTCATCCCCTTGAAACCAAGTGTTTGCTCGTGATATACATTACCACGAGAGGGTTTGGAATCGATGGTAGCAAACAGGCACCATCTGATTACCGGTTATTAACCAGTGGTTATGGCCTTTGATATCACTGCGATGGCGCACTGATAGGCAATACGGCGATCCAAGGAGGATTGCATGTCATCCACGTAGAGCAATCAATATAGTGCTCCGTGGTGGTTAGGTCAAGTGGTTGAACATATACGCATCACTGATATTATCACGAAGAAAGTAACTTATAGGTTTTAGTATATCATAGGGCTTGTTCTTGAGTACTTTGTTAGTTGTTCTGAATTCACATGTGTATGATGCGTCTCGTTAAAGGTGACAGCCTAATGAACACTATAGCTACAGGTTTAGCTCGTCGGTTTTTTTTTCTCTACGACGCGCTATGACATCCATTGTGCCGTGGTCCGCCACCGAAATGGATGGTTTACTTGTTCATGTTACCATTAGCAGTTCAACATTTCAACTTCTTTCCTCATAAAAATGGAAATAAGTCTCTCTACGTTTATCTCTACTCCGGACCTAGCTCCCACCATCGTCAAAGTGTTGGCCAGCTTCAAGGTTTACACAATCGAGGTATTAAGGGACATCTACGAGGATAGCGATGCCAGAAATGCCATTGGCGACAAGTGCGCTAAAGAGCTAGTTGGGGAAGTGAGGGCTGATAGCGGGGAAGCAGTATCTGAGGACCCCCCGGATACTGCTAAGCAGTCCGATGCTACAGTGGGTAAAAGTTCTGCGGTGAGCAGTGTTGGAACCTCCAGCGGGGGCGGTACTTCTGGATATGATCAAATGACGTATCAAATTATCAAAGCTAGAGTCGTTGGAGCTCTGAAAAGGGTCACGAAGAGCGGAGGTAACGACAAGACTGCTGGCTCCGAAGACACTATCCAAGTCATGAACTCGAAGGCTCTGTCTATGTTTGGGGTTATACCTTCCGAAGCAGTTACATTACTACCGCAGATAGCTGAGAAGATTGACAAGGACCCCCTTGGTTATATACAACTCCGTACTTATAAGGAGGGCGAAACGGGAAAACCTAAGTTGGTGGCGGGCCTCAACAACGAGTCGGTGTGGATCAAGAACTTACCCAAGGGTCTACCTATAGTGTCTATGGAACACTGGATACCGGCAATTTGTAGCTGGGGTGTTACAGTCTGCATCGTGGTGGGTGAAAATCCAGTGTGTGTCCTGGAATACGTTAGTAGAGTCTCATGGTTGGCTACTCAAGTCGGTGTCAGTGCTGCACTTAAATATGACAATTTGTATAGGATGCAGCTAAAGGTTAATGTACATAGGTTACAAGCTATGGATAAGAAGAAGACTTTGGGCAAAGCCTTAGCTGAGTGCCTGAGAGTTAACCAATCTAATGACTTGATCATTCAAGCCTATGGCAATGGCAATCTCCGGGTCTCTAACACGACCCGATCCAGTATGGGAGGTGGTGGCGGTCGTGATCATGGCTCAGTCAACTCTGATCGGACTGTCTGGCCAGGTGTATGTAAATACAGCAAAAAGGATTGCCCTTTTCCTGCTTGCAAATATTCTGTCCATAGCGATGAGGTACCCGTCCAGAGAAGGGTGGGTAAAGGTTCCCAAGGTAAGGGTGCGGGCAAGGGGCAGCCGTGGTATAATTCTCGTCTAAGCGGAGACGGCAAGCGCAATTTCCCGGTTGAAGGAGCGAACACCAACAACAATAAGTTGGCCAGAACTAGTAATTGAGTTGGTATTGGAATTCCTTACTATTTCGTAGCGCCGATCTGTGTTACTTTCGAGGTATCTCCTTCCTTCTGATAAGTGATTACTGGCTCAAGTATCGCGCAATGGAGATTTTTTTTATTAGCCTTCTCATTAGCGTCAGTAGATGAGTTTCAGAATATTGGTTTGTGTTGTTTTTTTTCTTCTTCTTCTGTCGTCGTCCGGTGTGCTTCCCTCTTGAGCAGTTATTGGAAATCGTGTGGCGATGACATCACGCTTTGCGGCATGGAATCAAAGGCAGCCTAGGCTCGGCTCTGATGAGGCTACCGAGCTGGATTTGAAGTTGTTGGGGGGCTCCATAAAGCCCGAGACTCGGCGTAAATACGAATACGCCTTGAACGAGTTCAAAGAGCTGGATTTGGAATTACCACTCACACAACAGAAGGTGCTGAGATATTTGCGCTGCCTAGTGGAGGTATCTTCCTTGAACGCTCAATCAATCAGAAAGAGAGTTACTGCTCTCAAGACTCTTCATTCACTACATGGCTATCCTACTTTGGATACGCCCTCACTAGAAGCCATCAAGCGAGCCTTGCAAAGCGTGGATAAACTTCGTCCAGCTCCACCGCCCAAGCGGGCGACAGTGGTACCAAACGAGGTGTTACGCTTCTTTATGACAGCTCGCATAGGCCTCGGTGGTAATGACGAGCTTGCTAGAGATGCTTTATTAATGGGAACGTCTTTGAGCCTCCGTGCTGGAGAGCTACTATCGATTCGGTCGGCGGATATTTCGTCTGTGCCAACAAACCAAACGGGTATACGGGTTAGGGTGGATCTGGGAGTCACGAAATGCAACCGAGTAGAGGAAGTGGAGGCTACTTGTACTCTAACAGAGTCTGAGTGCTCAGCAGGGGGGCTATGGTGTACAGCTCACAAATTACTGTACTTTAAAGCCTCGAAAGCACCACCACTCAAGATTTTTGGCAAGTTGAAGTCGTTTTCGAAGGCAGTGAAGAAGCTCAACCGTTATCTCCCCACGGAAATGCGTAACACTGATTTACCTAATCTACTATCTTTCACGGGACATAGTTGTCGCCGTACAGGGGCACAATGCCAAGTTCAAGCGGCTATCCCCAAAGAGGTCATTAAGACGGCTGCTCGATGGAAGCAGGATGGAATGGTTAACATATATACCGAAGAGCGGTTAAAAGATGAAGCAGCGAAGTCTGCGTCACGGATAAGAGAGGTTGTGTGTGCGTCGGGTGCTAATTAAGTAATCCGTACACGATCACTAGGATTGTTTCAGAATTGTGAATTCGTGAGTTGTGTATGAGCAGATGGTCTCTCATAGCCATTGTGATGATTGCTTGTCTGAGTAGCTATGGCGTGGGAAGGAAATAGTGTCGGGCAAACAATATTTCTTCAGTAAATTGCTGGATAATTTGTATGCCCCACGCAAGATCGGCAACGCAGAAGAAACGCCGGAATGCTCGGAGGCGGACGAAGACATCGTCTCACCCGTGGCAAGTAGAGCTAGAAGAGCTGAGAGGGGCCGTTCCGACCAAAGAACGCAGGGATGGTGCCGGGGCACCATGGGTGACGCAATGGGATCATGTCTCAGTTGCAGAAGAGAACTGGCAGGGAGTGTTGAGTATCGTCGAAGTACTGACTGAGGCTGTCCAAAACTTCATGAACGAGAATGGTGATTTCTTGTCACGTTTCATGGCAGCAGATAGGGAGGGCCAAACTGAAATGGCTAATGAGTGGCGCCCACTTGTGGAAGTAGCTGATATGGTTCGTCCGAAAATAGAGCATCGGCTCAAGACG